GCTAGTGCCGATCCCAAGCCCGGATAAAGGAGGAAAATTGGGATTGAAGACAACATCCCGCAAAAAAATAACTCGCTAAAAAAACGCTAACAAGAAAAAATAATTCAAACCGTAAAAACTCTGCTCTGGAAGTTAGAAAGTCTTTATTCATAAGAGTTATGACCTCTCATGATGAAAGCCGAGTCCCATCTGAAGTCGTGAGGCCGATGTCCCTTCTTAAAACCAGAGAACTTCCAAGGTGTGAGCAGCCGGAAAGTGACAACCGCCATCACACCCGTAACGGCACGCGAGACGCAACCAGTCAGAATAAAATCCTTTCTACACTTCTAATAACTCTCTTATCTGCACGACCAACCTTTGTTCGAAAGTTTGACACATCGCGCCGCTGACGCGAATAGTTCAAACTAACGAAACGTTATTCCTGATCTCCTGAAACCCCACTCCAAACTATATAGTGGGGCTTTTAACGTTCAAACCTATGCTAAATAGGGCAACAGGCTTCATTAGCTAGAACTCTGGAATCACGTGCAATCGATGAATGTTGTGTCTCCGAAACGCACATACATGATCCGAGTAAAATCATTAATTTGATTTCATCTAGTGCAAATAAGAAACAACATGGTTAACGCCTTATGTTTCTTGTAGCCATGATGCCGCTTCCCGAAGCCTCGCTGGTGTAGGTATAGCATTGAGTCCGATGGCAGAACTTGTTCGCTTAGACTGGATCCCAGTAGACAGTCGCTTATGCACTGACCAACTACACGGGACAGTAAGGACTCGGAAAGATAGGGACACTCGCCGTTGCCTTTTTGCTGTCTCTGCCTACACTCCTGTTGACTGCATTTCAGGCGACATGATGAGTTTTACAGAAACCTCTCTAACCTCCTCAAAGATGTTAGGCGCTTTGAATGACATATCGATTTAAGTCCTCCTAGTCTTTATGAAGTTGAGAAAGCGTTAGGAAATCTGAAGCGAGGGAGGACAGTGGGTCCTGATAGACTGACTCCTGAGATATTTAAGGATGGTGGTCCAGTTATAGCGGCTAGGTTGCCTGAAATCTTAGGTAGAATCTGGGAACTGGATACAATCCCATCTGACTGGTCTCAGTCGCTAATTGTACCAATTTATAAGAAAGGACAAAAGTCTTCATGTGACGATCACAGGGGAATCAGCCTAAGATAGTTTCTAAATTGTTAGCCTCGATTATACCTAGACGCCTAACTAGAGCTCGTGAAGAGCAGACTAGATAAAACCAGGATGGTTTCAGACCCGGACGTGGCGGTATAGACCATATCTTCACACTACGACAGGTCTTGGAACAGAGACATACATTTAGGCGTCCGACAATAGTTATCTTCCTGGACCTTAAGGCGGCATTTGACTCGGTGGATCGTGAGGTTCTGTGGCAGTCACCGTCATTAAAATGACTCGGAAGGATAGGGACACTCGCCGTTGCCTCTTCGTCGTATCTGCCTGTGCCCCCACTGACTGAACTTCAGACGAGGTTAAAGATGAGTTTTTACAGAAAGCTTCCGGACCTCCTACAAAATGTTAGGCACTCTGATGTAGTAATAATGGCTGGTGACTTTGATTCTCAAGTAGGTAGACTAAGTGAGCAGCAAAGACACCTAGGTGGATGTTATGGTGTCGCGTCTCAGAGAACGGACAGTGGCGAGCGTCTGCTGCAAGTACGCTCAGATAACCAACTATTTCTAGCAAACACTAACTTTAGGCATAAGGAAAAGCATCTATTGACCTGGCGACCTCCAAAGTCGTCTCAAAATTGGACGCAACCAGATCACATCGCTATCAGACACCAATGGAGGGGTTCGACAGAGGACTGCCGCTCGTCCTGGGGCACATGTTTAGATTCAGATCATGCCCTAGTGCGAGCGCGTATTTGTTTGAGGCTTACTGAACGTAGGAAAGACACCGTGAGGAAGCCTCTTAAGGTTTTACTTAATGATAATAAAGCTAAGAATAATAAGCATACTAGAGTTGGGCAACCATGCAAGCGGTTCCCATCGGGAAGCAGGTTAGTATGATATCAAAAATGATGCGGAAACAGCAGCAATATCTACTAGCAAGGTAAACGATAAGGCTAGAATGAAGCCGTGGATCTCAGTTGCATCCACCGAACTGATGGACGCTAGGAGACTAATCCCACCTGGCACTGAACATGATGAACGAAGTCAGCTTAGGCGCAGGCTGATAAAAAGACTACGCAACGATCATGAACAGTGGTGGGTGGCGAAAGCAAAAGCGATGGAAGAGGCAGTGGCGATCACAACAGTAGAAAACTTTTCCTACTTATCAAGGAAACTGGTATTAGGAATCCTATTGTAAGTGAAACTATCTCGGAAAAGGATGATCTTATAATTCATTCTCAATCCAGGAGACTGGATCGATGGGCAGAACACTTTAGGGATCAGTTCAACTGGCCTCGAGCCACTCTTCAGTTACCCACGATCTCCAGTCATCCTGAATGGTAAATCGACGTAAGTCCGCCTAGTCTTAATAAAGTTGAGAAAGCGTTAGGAAATCTGAAGCGAGGACAAGCTGCAGGTCCTGATAGACTGACCCCTGAGATATTTAAGGATGGTGGTCCAGTTTTAGCAGCTAGATTGACTGAGATCTTAGGTAGAATCTGGGAACTGGACGTAATCCCATCCGATTGGTCTCAATCACTGATTGTCCCAGTCTATAAGAAAGGACAAAAGTCTTCATGTGACAATCACACGGGAATCAGCCTAACTAATATAGTTTCTAAATTGTTAGTCTCCATTATACCTAGACGCCTAACTAGTGCTCGTGAAGAGCAGACTAGATAAAACCAGGCTTGTTTCAGACATGGGGAACTGTAATCTGAATTCTCTACATCAAGTGGTGTCCGTTAGGGTTGTCCACTCTCTCCATTCTTGTTTAACTTTGTCGTAGACATCCTCTTATAGTTAACAGTAAGCTCATCAAATTTCTCAGGTGGTTGACCTTCTACCAGGAAAATTGCTTACTGACTTAGAATATGACGATAACATAGTTCGTTAAGGTGAATACGCTGACAAAACGCAATCTTCTAACCACCCTAAGCAACAATGTGAACATGTTCAGGATGCGGTTCTCACCTTCGAAACGCAGAATGTTCCTTAACGATTGGCTTGCATAGGCACCTGAACTAGTGGTGATAAGTAGTGAAGTAGTTGAGCTCGTTGACCGCTACATTTTTCTCGGGAGTCTTATCAGCGCTGATGGCCTGGTGTCTGGCAAAATCTCAGCACGATTGGCTTTCACTGACCTGCGAAGGCGAGATATCCGTTTGCTGACTAAAGGACGAGTGTACTGCGCAGCAGTTCGCTCCGTTCTCCTATATGGATGCGAAATATGGCCAGCAAGAGTAGAAGATATTTGTAGGTTACGAGCATTCGATCATAGATGTCTTAGAAGCTTTGCTCGAGTATCGTGGGACAACCAAGTGAGCAATGGTGCCATTAGGAAAAGAGTTCTAGGTAAGGATGACAGACCAATTGATGAAAGATTGAAACTTCATCAGTTGAGGTGGTTGGGACATGTGTTACGTATGCCGGGCCACCGGCTGCCTCGATGAGCTTAGTTTTGTGGTTTAGGAGTAGGTTGGAAGAAAGTTAAGGACGGCCAGACAAAAACATGGCACAAATCCATAAAGTCACTGACAAGTGGACTAAGTCATGTTGTTAGATGTAGGTTAACTAGTTGGGGTCCGCGAGACTTAAGTAACCGATGGTTAGAGACCTTGACTGACATTGCTCAAAATCGTTTGCAATAGCGCAGGTGCGTCCACTCTTTGTGTTCTCTCAAATTCTAGTCTTCAGAATTCTTCACCTCTACCTTTCTCTTTCTGAAGTTGTCTCACTGAATTATACTTCTTGAATAATATCTTCAATCCCTATTATTCTCCATTACCAGTAATTCTTCTACTATCCCCAACACTATGGGATTTGAACTGACAGTTGCATCTATGTAGTGATGCGGTATGGCGACCTGAACTTATGTACTCGTGTACGAACTTCTCCATTGTAACTGACTGAGAAAAAGATTGAGTTTTATTAAAATTCCCAGATTTGGATTTCTGAGTAACCTGTATGGTCCATGCATACTAGCGTTTCTCAATGATTCCTACTGTATGATATGAGTTTATGCTGATTGAAAATAAAAAAAATACAATAAGATTATCTTTGAGCCGTCTACGTTCAACACGTTTATTACAGTGTTAAACAAAGAGTTGAATGATAAGTACCAGTATTTTATACTTACAAGCCTGGATCGAAATTGTTAGATGTTGGAGAAATGACACAAAACAATTCAGTTTATCTAGCTAAAATCAAGCTCCTGCAATGACATACAGAATACTTCGCGTAAAATTACGATGAATTATCAGTTAACTTCATTTTTCTGAGTCTAAATCTGATGAACTGGCTAACTCTGATGGTCTTTAGAGTAGCTGAAAGTAACTACAAATAAACAAAACTGAACAATTACCTCTAGACTTGATGCTATGACATTTGAGAATCTGGTTGAATTACTAATAAAACAGACAAGTACAAATTCTTCTTAGATTTAGGAATATTTTTTAGATCAGTTCGCTAGATCTCAAAATATCAGTGATGAATTTATTTCCCAGTGTTAGTAAAGAAGGTCCTGAATTTCGATAATCACTTAAAAACCATCTTTTTATTTTAGGCTATTCACCTTAAAAGAACTCAGCTCTTTTTCATCCATTTAAAGTCGTAACCATTAAACTTGGAGGAGGAAGCTTTAAACATGAATGACAAATTCGAAAGGCAATATGAAAAAATCAAACCTAACGATCGATCTCATATACACACATATGCACTTTACGGTCCCGCTGGTTTTGTGCTTAATCTACTCGAAATACAACAATAAATAAATGAAGCTACTTCGTCTCTAATAAGTGACCTACAACATAGAGTAGCAAGTCTATATAAAAAAGAAAAACGTCGGTAGTGTGAAAATGAAAACAATCTGTTTTAAAAAACACCAGGAATATCCGGTCATATTGGAAATCAATAAAAATCATATTTAACAATTAGGGAAGAGTTAGGACAAATGAAATGACTGTAAATATATATGTTCAATCACTATAAAATAATTATAATTTGACATGGCACATACACAAATGTGACTACCTAAAGTTATTTGTAAGCAAAGAAGATAAAAATTCCAAAAAGCAATTAAAAAGCATCCCCTTTCAAGCAATTCGGAAGAAACCAACTAATCAACGATATTTAACGGGACGCCATAGTCAATGTTTATTCCAAGATTTGCGAAACTCTAGAAAGATGTTTGAAAAAAAATACAAAAAATATTTTTTTAGCTGAACAGTAGGCACCTTGGTATATATCAACAGTAGTACTGATGAAAAATCGACTTTACTTGTGAATGTATTCCAATAATACAATGAAATATGTTACCAGACTAAACATACCAACGAATTCACATTTTAAAAAAATTATTCAACAAAAGATTCTGCACATATGCTAGAAAGTAGGAGTGATATTATTTGACAAGAGGAAAAACACCATGTGGTAGTATTTACTGATAGATCCTGTTATACAACTCGGCTACAAACATACGCTCTTAATCACTAGCTAATCTAAACAGCACATCATACGTCATTTAGCTAAATGATGGTAAGAGTAATCAAGTGCAGATTCTTACTAACAGTTTTGAGCGAAACTTTGTGTGAGGGTTAGTGGATCAATGAGCTGGTAGTTAATGTGTACAAACTATTATCAGTAGGTTACAAGTCCAAATATCACTCCATTTATTTTAGTTCGGGCAAGTGAACTGCACGTACACGAATCTAATCAGTCAAATAGCGACACGAGAAAACATAACTCAAAATAGATCAAACTGATGTCGTACCATTCAGATAATAAAACACATTTTTCACTTACCCATCATATTTGCTTCTATTAACCTACTTATAATGCTCAGTTTTTCATAGTAATGGCTTGTTATAAGTATTATTCCCATTTCTCTATCGGAATGCTATTAAGCTACTATATGGCTTGAAGACGCTGACGAAATGCAGTCTTTGGACCATCCTAAACACTAATGCTAGCATGTTCAGGATACGGTTCTCCACAAAATGTTGCTTCACGATTGGCTTGCCTGAACTAGTGGTGATAAGGAGTGAAGTAGTTGGGCGTGTTGACCGCTTCACCTATCTCGATAGTCTCATCATTGCTGATGGCCTGGTATGTGACAAAATCTCAGCACGATTGGCTTTTGCCAACCTGCGTCACTTATGGCGTAGGCGAGATATCCGTTTGCTAACCAAAGGGCGAGTGTATTACGCAGTATTTTGCTCCGTCCTTCTTTACGGTTGTGAAACATGGCCAGTAAGAGTATAAGATATCCGTAGATTACCAGCATTCGATTATAGATATCTTTGAAGCATTGCTCGTGCTGTCGTTAGGAAACGAGTTCTAGGTAAGGATGACAGACCAATTGATGAAGTGGTGAAACTTCATCAGTTGAGGTGGTTGGGACATGTGTTACGTATGCCGGACCACCGACTGCCTAGACGAGCTTTGTTTTGTGGTGTAGGAGTAGGTTGGAAGAAAGTTAAGGACGGCCAGACAAAAACATGGCACAAATCCATAAAGTCACTGACAAGTGGACTAAGTCATGTTGGTAGATGTAGGCTTCCTGCTTGAGGTCCACGAGACGATAGTAACCGATGGTTAGAGACCTTAAATGACATGGCTTAGAATCGTTTGCAATGGCGCAGGTGCATTAATTCATTGTGTTCTCTAAAATGCTAACATTCGGAATTCTTCATCACCTCTACCTTTCTCTTTCTGAAGTTATCTCACTGAAATATACTTCTCGAATCATATCTTCGAACATTAATCTTCTTCACAACTGCTAGTACTTCTACTATCACTACCACTATGGGATTTGAACTAACAGTTGCGTCTCTGTGCTGATGCGGTATGGCGACTTGAACTTATGTACCCATGTACGAAGTTCTCCGTTGTAACTGACTGACTGACTGAGAGGTTTAATCCACACGGCAGCGGAAAAATGGTAGCCAATGACCAACAATAGTCTCAAACATCATTTGTTCTCTCTGGATCTTCGAGCCTACGTGCAATATTGGTTTGGAATGACGATTTTCCGACTCCTCTAGGTAGATCCTTCGTACCCATTTACCCGATTTTAGAGCCGGAAATTCACTTTTCGTCTTCTCAAATTTCTCGAAATACGCCATCGTCCCAGGCAGAAGCTGTATACGAATTGTCCTATCAAAGCATTTCAAGAGGGACAGCGGACTCGTTTCACTCTCAACCGTACCAGGGCATTTAGGGAATAAAATCATCAAATGGTAACCAAATGATTTTGTTGTCTCTGGAACTGATCGTTATATACTGATGACATAGAGCGCGATCTCTAACATAAGTGACAATGATATATCAATGTAGCTCAGTACTTTGAGTAAGATGTCCAACAACGTAACCGGTTGCGAAAAATAACCATAAGTTCTCATTGAGGACCAACAAGAAAACATCACTATAATCTTAATAAAACCATTTCCTACATAAAAATAGAACTCATTATATCTGCTGTCATAGTTGGAGATGTTCTTACTGCTTTTACTGGAAGCATCTCTATGATTAACATTGCTTAATTCAGAAAAATAATTAGGTCATAAAGAGCAAATAAATTTACCTCAATAAGATAATCATTAGCTGAACAAACTTTGGTTTTGGAACCAATTTTATTTTGAATATCCGTTGAATATATAGTATCTGATGGATTTTCATTGGACACAGCCAGCTTATTACAATCATGTCCAAGACTACCTCTATTTGAACGGTTTTCATTTAATATTGTACAGCAACTTTGATTTTGTAATTGTGCTCCATCTTTGTGGTAACTTACCATTTTCATTAAACGATATTCATCAGATTGCTTCTGAATTGAATGAAAGTAATCAAATAACTCATTAAAGTTGATGTACACATTAACTAGATTCTGTCCAGACTGGGGACTTTTTGAAGGTCGACTACTTAAAAGAGTAAATTAACACAAAGCAATGGTTTTAAAATGTATACCTTAATTTCATAAATATTAGTTCACGATTGAAATCCCATTCAAGATGATGAAATCAATATGTAGTATTTAAATGAAGAACAATCTGCTAAGACAAGCTTGTTACTGTACTAAACATGTATTACACTTAAGTGAGCTTCACTTCATTAAAACGTGAAATATCACATCACCTTCTGTTAGTAGGTAGCAGAACAGATATCTACATTCTTCATAAAGTCAAGTGTACAGTAAACTATAGATCGAAAACTAATTTAATTGATAACAGCTTTCAGTAACACACAAAATTTCGCAAGTCGACGAAAAACCACACCAACTTGTATAACACACGCATAAATTTGAACAAATACCTACTCTTAATAGTGCATTCTTTTAACTTGATTTTCAGTACAAAAGAACAAAGAGTTGGTTATCACGTTATTTAATGGAAAAATGTCTACCTTGTATCTCGTTAGAAGACTCAACGTTTTAAAACATCTATGAGGTAAAAAAAAAACTCATAAAAGATCGCTGGAGAATAAAATGTTGACCAGATCCAGCTGTATTTGGATGAGTACTTGCTATACCACATAGGTCATACTCAACATTTGATTAACATCCCACGTCAATATTTTATGAGATAGCGTTCTAGATCTTATACTCGCAAATAGCATTTACAATAAAACAGGAATTAAATAAAAATAGTGATTACGCTGGATTATCTGAAATATATTCCACTGGTGGCAAACATTGTAAGCGCCGCCAAAGTGTCTGAAAAGCATCTGTTTGTGGAAGACACATAAGTAAGCAATATAAAGTTTCGCGAAGATCAGCACTGAATCGTTTATCAAGTAGATGCATCCGAAGACCTGAAAAATTAAGCATTGTGATCTGATTATACTTTAATTTTCAGTGAATATTTTGAGGTTTATAACATATATATACATATATATATGCTAAACCACCTAGAAATACAGATTGATTTTGCGATTCTAACTAGATGAACCAAATTATCTGGAACAAATATCAGGTTTCAAATAACGTTATGAAGATATATTATACAAGAGCATTCAGTTAATTAGATTATTGTTAGAAATATGGATGACTACAATGTAAGGAAGATAAATATGATTGGCATAGGTGACGATATCATGCTCACATTCTGAACGATGTTATGATTATCGCACTAGTCAACTACATCACTAGATTTTTGTTAGAACTGAACCGTCAAGACAAAATCCACTAACATCTAATCAACTTTAGCAAAATAACCGTTACATATCTTACATAACCTCCTTTGATCAGATTAAACAGTAACTTTGAAACCGTATAATACAGTATGGTGTAGACAGATATGAGATGAGAAAAGGCATATAAGTAGGTGGTTTAATTTAAAAAATTCTTGAAATTATCAACGATGAATAAACTTACTGGAGAATATAGGTGACTCTATCATTTGAATTAGTTGATCCATATCACAGAGAATTTCAACAGTAATAACAATATCCCCGCTTAGTTAAAAACGATATAATACTGTTAAGGAATAAATCCAAAGCATAGTATAAAACACAACAAGCAGAACGCACAACCTTACATAGATATTCATTCGCTATTTGAATTAACTACATTTCGGTTAACATATTATTGTTTACCAAATCTGTTATTAATCCTCAATTATTAAAATACAAGTAGGCTATTATATTTATTTTTACGAACAACACATAAGAGAACAATCGTATATAAGCGATTATCAACCATATGAGTTTTTCGAAAATTTACAACTTTTTGAGACGTACCATGAAATTAAACATTTTGTCATTTAAAAACGTGCATTTTAACGCACAAATAAATGAAATTAATAAAATACACTTCTACATATTATTAGGATACGATAACGAAAGATATTACTTATTAGAAAATGATAAATCTCGTTGTGTCAACAAGGATTATTACTCAAAGGAGTTTACTTGCCCTGCAAACAGTAGGTAGGGCTAACAGGGCGACCTACAATTCTTTGCACAGCTGCTAGGTCCACAACTTCTCTCAAAATTCACTGGAAAATATGTTTTTTCATCAAACTTAGTGAAACAGTGTAGGGTAAGTCGTATCGTACCCTAAATCATACTGTCGCTGAAAAGAATTCAACGATTGGACAAATAATTGCTACGCGCTATTTGACGTGAACTCACAACACGTTTACAAGCGTACTTTTAAGTATTAAAATATAATTCCGTACTGTTTAGGAATAATTCATTAAAAAACTATTTCATAAAATGAATATGCTGTTTGGAAAAAGCTAATCAAAAACTAAATTCAATTTGTTGAAATTCCCTTCATTTTTTTATTGAAAAAAGGATACAACGATTTCACTAAACGACTACAATGTTTATAGTTCTCAGTCAGCATGCATAATGCTAATAGAGAAACAGGATTATAGCACCAAGCACGATAAAGTTTCTCAAACAACTGACATTGAGCCTAAAACATGTACACATTGGATAAAGAGAAAGCAGATATTTGTTAGGTGAAATAAGACAGGAAAGTAAACAAATACTTCGAATTTAATAATTTATCGTAAATAAACAAGAATATTTATAAAACGATGCGAGAATTGAACTCAGTTATGTGGCATGTTTAACGTATTGGCAGTATCATAAGGCAGAGTCGTTTGGATTACTGTATAAACTGAACTGATAATCTGCAGACAAATGTATTTCATAATAATATTATTTTAGCATGTTTTTATGTTAGATAACTACATAAATTGAGTATTATGTAGAATAACAAAAGGCTGTGATTATTTAACACACCACTCATTATTCCATTTTATCACGTGATAGGGAGATATTGTTTGTTAGGATTATCCCTCAATATCAAGTATTGTTGACGTGATGTAAAATGTATATTCATGAGCGATCAGTAAGACTATAATTTTTTTTAATCAGAAGATTTACACTAACAGGCCGATGGTAAGCTAATCAGTGTTGGGTTTTATTATCTCGAATTAATTAAAATTCAAGCTTGACAAAAAAAACAGCTGAATCATTTAGAAGTTAAGCATATGCAATTAAATACCATATTGATTGAGTGCTATTATATTCGAGAGAATTCTGGAAGATTTAAACTCATTTCGATAACTAGTAGCAACCACAGTGCAATTGCACGCCTTTTGAGCTATGCACAAAAAGGAACATATTAGGTTCTTACTAATGAACATATAGTAATATTATGAATCACACCACATTAAGTCAGACAATAAGTTATGTGCATTCCTAATTGAGTATGAATGAGTGTGCTTATAGTTTACTTTTGTCGATTTTATCTAACAAAAAATCTGAGTGATGTTTGGCTCGTTAACTTGGCTTAGGCAATTTATGAATGAATGAACAACGGTTCCAACGTATTAAGCACTCAATTTTCGGTGTTGCATTTTTGTAGTCTACTTTTAAGTCAGTATTGATTGAAGGGAATATATATGCAATTAACTCGAGGTATATATCGATATTTTCCGGGAAGTATATACAATTTAAAAACTAGTTTATTTCAATTAAGAATTATTAGGTGAAGTTTATCAGTGTGGATAAAAGAAAACCAAATAAAACCCTTCAACAGTGGAATGTGAATAAGCATTGGAATCTTATGAAAAAACATTTAGCAGAACCATAAACTAATAGATTTATAGATTTATTGATTAATACTTCTCGGTGAAAATATACCAATATTCATAAATGAAAATGAACATCAATCGTTCTTTACCTTCGTATTAATAGAACGTAACTGTTTACGGAAATTATGTAACACTGGTTGAGTTAAAAGTATTCGATTCAACGCTTGTACCAGTACAAACGCAGATTCCAATGGTTTAATATAAGAAATAATTGTTGAAATGGTGCAGTACACCGTATCAGCACCAAGAACTTGACAGAGATCACTGTTTAAACATTAAAAACGAAAATAAATACAATAACAATTTGGTAAACCTACATATTATGGACACTGTGTTTGACAAGTCTAAGACTAAGTAGAATTTATATGCTGCAGGTATTATGGTATGCAGAGTACAAGATCTCACTGCTATACTGCCTAACACCCAAAAACTGGTTAATTAAGCGAGAAGGCAGAAGCGGAAGAGAAAGGCTATTTGGCTACCGAATAATATATGCAAATACTCGACTATATATATATATATATATATATATATATATATATATATATACCCTACTTAGAAAGGGAAGCCGTTTCTTGATTAATGATATGAATTCGCCCTCTAGAATATTTTTGCAGGTTATCAAATGGCCTTCTTGTGATTGGCTCATCACATCCTCATAAATCATGGATGATGGTTGTGTGTACCCTGCATAAATAAAAAAATCCCATAACTGGCTATGACAGATAAGACAATCACAACTATGAGATGAATCAAAGCATGACTACGTTGCTGCGCGCTGATTTGCTAATTTCCTATCCAATCAGCACCTGATCGATTCTTGGAGAACAGAGTAGAAAATTCTCGTGTTGTTAGCTGCAAGCTGATTGGCTAAATCTAATCCAGTCGACCACATGAATTACTATCCAGAAGCTTCTCATGAAAACACTATAAAGAATCTAACGTTGTATCTATTTTGCCTTCGCCTTCGGCTTCTTATTTCCATTAACTTTGCTGTTTGGAATATAATCTTTTCCTCTTCCACCGTCTTTGTGATTCTTTGGAACTTGTCCAGTGTATTGAGGTCAGAGAATACTAAGCAGTAGGAATTAGCCGGGAATTATCTAGGCATGCGTTACAACAATTGCAAATAGCAAGGTTAATGGAAATAAGAAGCCGAAGGCGAAGGCAAAATAGATACAACGTTAGATTCTTTATAGTATTTTCATGAGAAGCTTCTGGATAGTAATTCATGTGGTCGACTGGATTAGATTTAGCCAATCAGCTTGCAGTTAACAACACAAGAATTTTCTACTCTGTTCTCTAAGAATCGATCAGGCGCTGATTGGATAGGAAATTAGAAAATCAGCGCGCAGCAACGTAGTCATGCTTTAATTCCACCTATGTCCCACTAACATAGGGAATCACCTTATTGCCGTCACACCTCCCCACAGTCAGCAGTACGACTTTGCCCTCAGATCTTCAGTTGTTGCTTTTAGTGATACCGCCCTCTACTCGACTTGCTTGGATTGGCAGGACCTAAAGGGATATATGTTCCAGCCAATATAGACCGGTTGGGTCATCACGATAGACAAGCTCAACCACCACGTCAAGGTAGCAGCTACGGTCGGGATTTTTATATGACACAACAGTTTGTTTCATCTTAAAATATATTAAAATTAAAATTGAACTAAAAAATTCATTACGTAATAATCATATCACCACGTTTCCGTAATAATTCTGAATCCTTGTTAAACAATTCGATTAGGTCCAAAAGAAATTGTAAACAAAATGTATTTGGAGTAGATGGTGACGATGATAATTCTTGAGATGAAATTTCCGTTGGACAATCAGAAATCTGACTATCGTTTTGTCCATTGACTGCAGCCGGATCATGAAGTAACTTGAGAAGATCTTGAGGTAAAATGACAGAATCTTTGTTGTGATAATTATTACCAACAATATCATGGTGTTGACTGAGTTTTCCAATCAACGATATAGTAGAATGCACCATCTAAAAAAATGTGAGAAACATTATAGGCTAATTTAATACGAAATTACTAGTGTCATTCTAAAGAAACAATTCCACTGATTCTTACTGCTAGCGGGACATAGATGAATTAAAGTATGACTGCGTTAGCTGCGCGCTGATTGTCTAATTCTTACTCAATCAGCACTAGTAGATACTTGGAGAACACTCTAGAAGCTTCTCATGTAAAAACAACAAAGATACTAAAGTTGTTCTTATTTCGGCTTTGCTTCGGCTTCTTACTTCCATTTAACCTTGATGTTTGGAATATAATCTTTTCCTGTTCAATAATGTTCTGATTTGGGGACTTGTCGAGTGTATTGTTGTCAGAGGATGCTAAGCACCAGGAATAGTTGGGTTTACTAGAGGAAGATTTATAACACTTGCTGCATAACTTACTTCATCAGCAGGATCAGAAACTAGTTTGAGCATTTCTGGTAGAAGACGATCAACCTGCGAAAACACCTCAGCTGAACAAACTTCTGCAAGTACAGTAATCCAACGTAGTGCAGCCAGACGAGTTAATAAACTTGAATTATTAAGAAGTTGAAATGTAACTTCTAAAATTGCATCTGTGCATAAAATTTGTGAACTGTTTTGTTCGCTAGATAGTGAATCTGTTGTAGAGTTTTGAGCTGTATTTGCGAACCGCTTAGTTGAATTTTCAACTTGCAAACTATAAAAAATTAAGGTAAGTTATATAGTCAAGGATATCTGATTGAGTACAGAAAACCTATGCACTCGCTCTTTATACCATGTTGTCTTTTATTAAAGACAAAAAAACTATACTGAAAACTTGTAACAAAAATTTCAGGAAATGCGTCATTAACGTCACAATTCTGCGAAAAAGGAAAATCATGGATCGAAAACTAATAGAGAACTACACAGAAACAACACAGCTACGTATGATAATATATACAGTTAGAATAAGTCCTATAATATTGAGGAAATTTCAGACTTTTTATGGACGAATGACGAATTCTAACACATTGCAGGTAATATAAATAAAAAGTGTAAATTAGATATCAACAACTGTACTCTCAGGCAAACAATACAAAAATATACGTACACTTCAAGGAATAATCACCGACATAGTTACCTGTTAAATGTCAATCAAAAAAGATTCTGATCACTTAGTAAGTCAGTCACTTACAACGGAGAACATCGTACGTACGTACATCAGTTCAAGTTGCCATAGCACGATAGCACAAAGATGCAATTGTCGAATCAAATCCCACAGTAGTTGAGGTAGTAGAAGTATGAGCAGTAATCAGAAAGATCATGGTCCAAAGATATTATTCAAGAAGTATAATCCAGTGAAATAGATTTGAGACGAGAAAGATGACGGTCATAAGAAGTTCAGATTAGAATTTGGGGGGACATAAAGAATAGGTGCACCGGCGCCATTGCAGACGGTTTCGAGCTATGTCACTCAGTCTCTAACCATCAGTTACCATCATTGCACTGACTCCAACCAGGTAGTCTACACCTACCAACACGGCTCAGTCCACTTGTCAGTGACTTCATGGATTTGTGCCATGTTTCGGTCTGGCCGCCCCTAGCTTTCTTCCAACCTACTCCTAGATCACAAAGCATCGCTCGTCTAGGCAGTCGGTGATTGGGCATATAGAACACATGTCCCAACCATCTCAACTGATGAAGTTTCACTAATTCATCAACTGGCTTGCCATCCTTACCTAGTACTCATGTCCTAACAACTGCATTGCCTACTCGATTGTTCTAGGATATACGAGCAATGCATCGAAGACACCGATGATCAAATACAAGTAGCCTACGAATATCCTCTACTCTTACTCGCCATGTTTCACACCCGTATAGTAGGATGAGCGAACTGTTGCATTGTAAACCCTTCCTTTGGTTAGCAGACGGATATCTCGCCTACGCCACAAATGACGCAAGTTAGAAAAAGCCAGTTGAGCCTTCTGTATCGGTGCTGATATTTTGCCAGACACAAGGCCATCAGCTTTGATGAGATCCCAATGATTAGTGAAGCGGTCAACACGCTTAACTGCTTCACTCCCCATCACTAGTTCTGGTACTGATACAACCCGATCCTGACGCAACATTTTGCATTTCGATGGGGAGGATAGCATAACGAACATGCTTGCATTGTTGCTTAAGGTGTTCAGAAGACTACATTTCGTCAAAATCTTCATCGAATAGGACTATGTCATCAGCGTACTCTAAGTTCACAAGTGAGTCTTCTGGTGAAAGTTCAGCTTTTGAAAAGTTAGACGATTTAAGTGCCGTCTCTAAAAGCACGTCAATGACAAAGTTGGATAAGAGTGGAGAAAATGGAGAACAATGACAAACACCACTCAAGTAACCAATTCCGATGACAGTTAGACAGCTTGTATAGGGTAAATGTACTTCCTTGTTACACCTTTTAATTACAAACCTCACGATCAACAAATTTAAATGCCATTTTACGATCTAAGAATACAACTCTCCTCAGACGCTGAAATGTGAGTCTATGTTCCTTATGTGGTCTATACAAACATGTCCAGGTTTGTATCCAGCCTGGTTTTTTTGAGTCTGCTCTTCACGGGCTCTAGTTATTTGTCGAAGTATTATTGAAGCTACTATGTAAATTTTATCTCTAAAAGTATGTCTATGACTAAGTTGAATAGGAATGGGATCACTTAGTAATTAGATTACCAACTTACTGGAATTAAATCCTACCTTATTCTCACAGTACATAGTACGGATACTAAGAAGTGGTTTAACTTTATGCGTATATTTTTAGACCACCTATCTATCATGTATACTATTCAGCAACTTGCGCGCCTACCGAGACATAAATGATCTTGCTGCGTTTGTATAACCAAATACCTGCTTACAGACAAATAAATCTGATTGCTTGTCATTTAAATAACCATATATCTTTGGAAAATCGACAAAGAATATTCAAGTATTTTAGGTTGAGTTATGAATTTATCTTCATACATAAATATATAGAGCATTTAAACTTACAATTTGACTGAAGATTCCGTTTGGTTTCCTGAATTAAATGAGACACTGCGCGAATCCAATTTATTGCGAGCTTTTGATTCGCATGAATCCAAATTATTTACTGTACATGAATTGAATAATCTAACAGCCTTCAAAAGTGTTTCGTTTATGCACACAGCTGTCTCGAGAGCAACTTTGAATGAACAATAATTAGAATAATTACAAAAGTAAGAAACTAAGACGATAAAATTCACCTTATGCATATACATAACTCGATGATAAGATATAAACCTAACTTTTTACACACGACGACTAGAAAAAAGAAAATTTTATCATTTAGAACTCAGGAACAATCTGTACATTGAGAGGATAATTGCCAACTTTTAAAACATATACAGTTGGCGATTGATGAGACAGAAGGGAAAATAGAAAATTTCATAGCCGAATACATATGATGAGCGGTTCAGAGAAATGATAGTGATACTCGATAGTATTTCAAGAATGAATTCATTTGAAACGACAGCAAATATATCTGTATTTTACTGTTCATCATGAAAGTAGGTTTGCTTATGTATTTTACTTTATGAAAGCTTGATACGTACAAAAAGTTAACTTAATTCCTAAATAGAAAACTTACATAACTTTGTTTTCTCATTTGAAAATAAAGGAGTGCTTTAAAATTTTGGGTACACACATGACTACTTTATGGACCAGAAGATAAGCGAAACTCAAAAGAATGAGTTTTCAGGAAATCAAGAATAAAACCACGATTTATCTAAACAGATATATACAAGGCTGAAATTGAAATGGTGGATAGAATTTGTAGCTCAGGTGGATGATTGTGGAGTTTCGTTCTCTGAACTGGTTGTAGAGCTCTCATTGTTCTTCTGACCTTGAGCGAGGTCAAAAGGACAAGCCATGAGTCATGCATGGATAAATTCGAATACTTCACTTATAACTGAAGTTTGTTTGGAAGAATTATGAAAGCGCCACAACCAAAACAAAATTGTAATAATTACGGACGAAAATGTGTTATTGAGTAAAGAACAAACCTTTTCTTTCCTGTATAGCGTCAGATGGTCCACAAAGCATAAAGCAGGGAAGAACAGCACCAATAATTCCTGAAGCATATGGAAGCATATGATGTGGATCTATTTCAACAAATGTTTTTATCCACTTCAGTGCCGTTCGTTGTCTCAGTTGTTCTGGTGCGTTACAAATATTTCCGCTTTTTGAGGACCATGAATCAGAAGCGTTTTGAGCACTTTGTGTGAGACTAACACTTTGAGCCAATGTATCCACAACAAGAGATGAATTGATGAGATTAGAAAACTGGGAGCTACGTGGAGATGATGGCTTTAAAGCAATGTCAGCCAAGGCACAAGCTAAAGTAACACGAAAAAATCCATGGTACTGTATAGATCAGAAAAATAATACATAGATGAGGAGTAAAAAGATATATTCATTAGTACAAGCAAAGGTATACTAAACTGTTTTGTACTTAACAATTAAAAAAATGTATTCTGTGGTAAAATTTGTACTCCAGCGGGTGTACAATTAACGAATTTCTGGATAATCATGTATAACAGCAAACAAGAAATCGAGGAGTATGCTAATTAGGTTTAGTTAAATAGTCTAAAAGGCACAAAACAAGGATCTACGATCAGCATGAATTGAATCTTGACCACAATACATAAATTAAATGACAAAAAATATTCTGCTGAGTGTTAGCAGCAATGAATTCTACAGGTACAATAAGTTAAATCTATGCATCAGATAAACAGGTATAACAGTAATAAGAACTTGAATACTTTAACAATAACACTTTAAATGCACTGCTGAACTAGATGCAACAGTGTTAAAGGAACTTGGAATGAAAACATCCGGTTGCGGCTTCCAGTAAAACAGTAAATATAAATACCTTAAATATACAGATAATATAAACTCTGAAGAATATCTATAAAAGGATTTCATTAAACAGACTTTTCTTTTATTACAGATTAGTATAATTTTGTGACGAAGAGTATGCAATACAAAGCAGAGATAATTAGGTTTGTTATGAAAAAGGCAACAAAGATATTTGTTCTGCACCACCAAAAAAACCATGTTTAAAGTGACAAAATGGAACTGGTTAGTACAATTTGTATTTCTCCACGCCGAAATGCAAAATGTTGCTTCAAGATTTGGTTGCACCGGCACCTCAACTAGTGATAGGGAGTGAAATAGTCGAACGTGTAGAACGCTTCACTAATCCTGGGTATCTCATCAGTGCTGATGGCCTTGTGTCTGACAAAATCTCAGCACTGATACAAAAGGCTCGATTGGCTTTCGCCAACTTGTGTCACTTATGGAGAAGGCGAGATATCCGTTTGCTGACTAAAGGACGAGTGTACTGTGCAGTGGTTCCCTCCTTCCCACTTTATGGCTGTCAAACATGGCCAGTGAGAGTAGAGAACTGTCGGCGGTTACTAGTCTTCGATCATCGGTGTCTCCAAAGCATTGCTCGTGTATCCTGGGATAACTTTATAAGCAATGATGTCGTTAGGAAACGAGTTCTAGGTAACGATGGCAAATCAATAGATGAAGTAGCGAAACTTCATCAGTTGATGTGGTTGGGACAAGTGTTACGTATGCCTAACTACTGACTACCGCGACGAGCTATATTTTACGGTGTAGGAATAGGATTGACGAAAGTTAGGGGCGACGGGACTAAGGCATGGCACAAATCCATGAAGTCACTGACAAGCCAGTAAGTGTCGACTACCTGGTTGGGGTCCGCGAGATGTTAGTAATCGACGGTTAGAGACCCTGAATGACATGGCTCAAGACAGTTTGCAACGGTGTCGGTGCATTCATTCATTGTGTTCTCTCAAATCCTAAACTTTTTAATTCTTCATCACTTTATCTTTATATTTTTAAGTCTATTTCACTAGGTTCTACTTCTTGAATAATATCTTCTGATCCTAACCTCTCCGACTATTGCTAATACATCTACTACTTGTACTATTGTTGGATTTGAATTGACGATTATATCTCTGTGCTAACGTGGTATGGCAACATGAACTGATGTACGTACGTACGAAGTTCTACGTTGTAACTGACTGAGCACAACTTCTTGAAATACTGGACAGCTAGTTAAAACTGATAGCTCTATCAAACTACAATAATATTCAAAACAAAAATACTCAATAAAAAGTTAATATCCACCAATACATTAAAAGTCAAACATGACACAAACAACTAACCTGTTGCTGAAAGTCGACAGTGTACGATTAAACTGTTAATCATTGAATCTAGTGCAATTTCATTTGGATTAGTTTCTATCTCTTTGAGTAAATCTGTCAAAAGCATTTCGCATCTAAAGCAAATCAAAACGAAATATAAATTGTAGGAAGAGAGAATAAGCTAAAATCCTTATAAAAATCTATTAAATCACTAAGTCATATTTACTGAAAACTTGATAATACGTAGTGAGGAATTAAGAGCCACTGAATCCATAGTCTCAGTAAACTATGAATCAGCAAGTGAGAGCGCAAAACTTACTAACGACATTGAATGACACGTAATGAATGCATTATCACCCTTAAGTCTTTAGATATCAACCAAAGGATCCCAATAAAACAGTTAAAGTGTATTGGAACACCGCGAAATCTGAACTCGTCACTAAGCATCACGGTTACAGAAGTCACGACTCAGCTATTTGGATCGACATCAATTTCTTATAGAACTAAAAAATTTGTAGTAATATAACACTAACACTCCAATTTGCAGTCACTTAGATTGGGGACTCGATTTCAAACTAATTAGTAGAGCTTGCACTCCACTAAAAACTAGATATGAAATGGACTACTATTTATTGACCAATTAGCGTAGGTAATATCGATTCGTGATGAAAACAATTTTAAAGTTACTTAGGTACTTAAAACTCAGTCTACATGTAGATGAATTAGTAAGAAGATAGTATTTTGAAAAGAAAATCTCAGAGTTCAGTTTGAGATAAAACGCTACGAGAGTATTCGGAGTTGAATTGAAGCAAAAAATACATATCGAAATATAAGGGGCAATACAAGTTAGTATATGAAGGAGTTTTACAAACAGAATATACCCAGATTCGAAGAACTATGTAGTTGAAACAGAAATTAGATTACAATCTAGAAGGGTTGTTTAGTATTATATTTCACTGCATGTTCACATCTTTTGATATAGGTTCTATATTAAAATGGGGAAAAATGAACCGACGTATTAAGGAAATTCACTTTACAACCCTACAGAAGAAATTCACAGAAATACCGTCTATCTAAAACTAAACATACTTTGATAATCATTAAATATATTCAGAAATACACTTCTGAAAACGCCGTGTTAGTGACAGCAATAGCCGATTATGGATAAGAAAAAACTATTTCGCATTCAACAATAAACAGATAAAGATTTTGAAAGTAGACATGATTAGAAGCAGCTCTAAACACAGAATGTTGCAGCGATAGGATGTTCTATTGAAAAATACATACACGAATCATACTTGATGGACGCAGAGAAATGCAAAATGGTAGCCGGTTTCTTCCTATTCTCATTACTGAAATACGACTAAGAGCATAACTTGGATTGTTGAAAATAGCGGAAAGTATCTCTGACATCCAATAAACCCATAATTCCCAAAAACTGTAATGTAGACTGTTAATGAACTATTGGGTTTGGAACATACCCTTGTAGAACTTGGGTTAGACTCATATACCTATAACTTGTAAACGAAAAATCACAACCCCGAACGAGGTATGTGAGTTTGATTCCATGAAAGAATATATCTCATTCTTGTCCCAACTCTACCTTTGTAACCTGCATCAACAAGGTTGAAAACTACATCTAGAACGTTAAAATAACAATGCATTACGGTACACTAAACTCTAATCATTTAGCTTAGTAGCTACATCGCAAACTTGATTAACACTGAAGAACTGATTACATTGTTAACTTTCAAGAAAAACATTTGTTTAGAATTTATCTTTTTGAGATAATCCGAATTAAAAATTTTCCAAAATCCGTAGGCATAAAAACGTTAATTTGACCAAGCATAAAATAATAACCACTCTTACTGTCTTCTTAAGTCTGGATTCGGATCGCCAAGTATACGGAAAAGCCCATCCAATAATTGCGGCAAGTAAACAGAAATCTTCAGTCCAGGTATAGCATACAATGTAGTGATCTGATTAATAAAAAGGTTATTAACGTGTCATATTAATGTGATTGATTTCAGATTAAATAAACCAATCTCTTAACACCTAGTATATATTAAAGTATAGGAAACAGAAACTATTAACGCAATAATGCAATGCATTTTTTGGCATGAAGCATTAAGAGCGAAGACGTAAACCTGAATTCTAATCATCAGTATTGAGTATTAAGAGGTTAAACAGATTAACAAGAAACATGAGTAGAATTTCAAATACTAGATTTGTACAATTAACTTGCAAGTTCAAAATACTGGCAAATCCAATATTAAAATAAGTACAGTACAATAACAACTAGGCAGTATGCTGAGAAACGATATCACTAAGTCAGTTAGCTGAAACATAGAACCTAGTACGTACGTACACCAGTTCAAGTTGTCATACCACATCAGCACAGATAGATCGAATTTTCCATGCAAACCTCAAAGTAGTAGAGGTGATAGAAGTATCAGCGGTAATTGAAAAGATTAGGCTCGAAAATACGGTTCCAGAAGTATATCCCAGTGCAATAAATTTAAAGAGAGAAAAATGCCATGAGGAACTCAGAACCCTAGAATTTGAGAGAAGACAAAGAATGGATGCATCTGGACAATTGCAAACAATTTTGAGCCATTGGATTCAAAGTCTCTAATTACCGGTTACGATTGTCTTGAGGACCCCAACCAGGTAATCTACACCTACCTTTGGATAGCATGAGTACAACTCCTTGTATATGTGTTCTTCATGGCCTGAGCAAAACAGCATTTTTCCAGAAGCTAATCTCTGTTGTCCAACCTGCGTCCAATGGGTCTCACTTATTCCAAGCAGCACCAGCTTGTATCTCATTTCCGTAGCTACTTGAATAGTTCTTCCGGTCTCTCACATTGTGCGGATACTCCATGTATTTATAGTTGCCATGGCTGTCAGAGGAGTCATCTGCCTCATAATTGCCAAAGTAACTCAGCTAGCACCATGGGGTGTGATAACTCTTTTAAATGAAGACCTTCCAACTTCCAGGGCAGAGTTGCCCAACCCTCTTCCTTTATCTGGGCTTGGGACCGGCAGGAAACCTAGGTCTCCAGGCGGTGGATATGCTATAAAGACAATAATGGATACTAGTCAAATTTATCGTAAAGAAGTTTTGAATGGAACGATTACTGGAGTTTAATATTCCAAAACGATAATTTACTGTAACTTGGCAAGGGCCAAAATTCTTATCATAACTTCAGTTCGAATTTTGCTTTCAAATATTATGCTTAATTAGGGAATCGGGAAATGCGTAAACACGTAAGGGAATACTGATATCGGATAAAATATGAATACGTTTAGAAGCTTTTGCGAGTGAAAAAAAAGTAAAAACTTCCAAAGTTTTCAAACTCTCGTCTCTCTGATTACTGCTATTACTTCTACTACCTCAACTAATATGGGATTTGAATCGACAGCTGCACCTTCGTGCTACCGTGGTATGGCAAACTTGAACTGATATACGTATGTATGAAGTTGTACGTTGTAACTGACTGACTGCCTGACATTTGGAAGCAACTCAGAACAGTACACAAACACAAATAATAAAGTCACTAAAAGTTAGTTAAGCACGACTAGAAAACATAGGATTTGTGAGTTTATTAAGTTATCAAATATTCCCATTGTGAAAATGAGAACATATATAGGATAACATTATTGTTTTTAATTATATCGTCATTAGGCTTTACTCACATATGCACGAATATTTGTACGAAAATGATAAATCAATCAAGGAAAATTATGAGTCCGAAATCACAAAGAAACAGTTTATGTACTTGTATATAATAGGTAAAGATAGCAGGTGGACGGGTGGACTACTACTAGTGGAAAAATAGTAAAATACAATGACAAAAGAGTTTGTCCATAGTGCAAAATTGGAAGTAGGTCAAACTGGGATTAATAAAATTAAAATAATGACCACAAGAGATTATTAGAACTACACAGCGCATAAATATTTAAAGTGAAAAATATGAACAGAAAAATTTACGAAAAAATGACAGAAATGCAGGATATGAAAATAATAAAAATACTGAAATAATATAGCCTACTAAGTTATATATGCCCAAGGAACGGATATGGGTGTCACAAATCCCTTTTGCACACAAACTGATGTTCCAGGTTTGGATTCTTATAGCTACTAATATGTAGGAAATCTCCACCTGGAGCCACTCTGAAGCAACTGCTGGTCAGAAGACCAGATAAAGGAGGAGGGTTGCGCTTGGGGTTTGTGACCCCATCCTCTAGAAAACTAACTCGCTAAAAAAGGCTAACCGTAAAAATCAATTCAAACCATTTTAACTCTGGTCTTGGAAGTTAGAAAGTCTTCATTCGCAACAGTCATGCCGTCTCATGATGAAGGCCGAGTTCCTTCTGAGGTCACAAGGCGGACGCCTCTTCTCACAAGCGAAGCAATCATTCTTTTAGGTACATCGAATGTTCGAACAATTTTGTAGACCAAAATACCGTTCCAAATTGCTGCAGAGGTAAAAACATACAACCTGGAGGTGTTTGGAATCAGTGAAACGCATTGGCCGCAGGTTGGATAACTAAGACTAGCTTCAGGAGAGTTTCTGTCATACTCCGGCCATGAAGAAGAAAACGTCTCTCACACACGCACAAAGAGATTCACTGATGCTGAACAAACAAGCACAAAAGGCACTGATAGGATGGGAATCTCACGAATCCAGGATCATCAAAGCATCCTTCAAAACAAAGAAACAGGGCATTACAATCAACGTCACCCAATGCTATGCACCTACCAACGACTACAATGACGACTATAAATATCGATTCTGCGAGAGGTTGCGGTCAGTCGTCGAGAGATGCTCATCAAACCATTTGACCATTCTGATGGGAGACCTAAATGCCAAGGTTAGCATGGACAACACTGGATATGAAGATATTATGGGACGAAATGGACTGGTAGAGAGAAACGAAAATGGTGAGAGATTTGCAGACCTATGTGCTTTCAACAAAATCGTCATCGGCGGCACAATATTCAACCACAAAGCTACATGGATTTCACCGGATCACACTATTCACAAACAAATCGACCATATCTGTATCAATAAAAAGTTCAGAAGGACCATGTAAGACGTGAGACACAAGGGAATAGCTGATATAGCCTCAGATCACCACTTGCTGGTCGCCAAAATGGAAAGGAAATTAAAGAAGCACTGGACAACGGGTTGGACAACTTCACAAAAATTTAATACGACCATTCTTCGGGATACTGACAAACTTGACGAAGACAAGATAACCCGACTGGACCCACCCAAAATCGAAGCAGCAACCACGCACCTCCCAATCAACGTTGGTCCACCAACATTTGAAGAGATCAGAATAGTAATCAGACAAATCAAGAGCAGCAAAGTAGTGGGGTCAGACAACATTCCAGCAGAGACAATACGAACAGACGTGGCTGCAACTGCAAAAATATTCCACATTCTGGTCAATAAGATTTAGGATGAAGAACAAGTACCAACAGACTGGAAAGAAGGATACCTGATCAAAATACCAAAGAAGAACGACCTCAGCAATGTAAGAACTACAGAGGCATCACTCTTCTCTCAATTCCAGGCGAAGTCTTCAATAGGGTATTTTTAAACAGAATGAAGAACTTTGTAGACGCCCAACTCCGAGATCAACAGGCTGGATTTCGTAGGGATCGATCGTGTACCGACCAAATTGCAAAATTACGGATCATTGTGGGACAATCAATTGAATGGAATTCAACACTCTAAATCAACTTCATAGATTACGAGAGAGCACTTGACAGCGTGGACAGGACAACAATGTGGAGGCTTCTTCGACACTACGGAGTCCCCGAGAAGATGGTCAATATCATACGAAATTCTTACGATAGATTAAACTGCAAAATCGTTCATGGCGGCACCTGACAGACTCGATCGAGGTGAATACCAGTGTCAGGCAAGGTTGCTTACTCTCACCCTTTCTCTTTCTCCTGGTGATCGACTAGGTTATGAAGAAGTCAATATCTGGAGGGAAACACGGTATGCAGTGGACAGCATCGATGCAGCTGGACGATCTGGACTTCGCAGGTGATCTGGCTCTTCCATCACACACACAACAACAAATGCAAGAGAACACGACCAGTGTAGCAGCAGCCTCAGCAGCAGCAGGTCTCAACATACATAAACGGAAAAGCAAGTTTCTCCGATACAACACAACATGTGCCAACCAAATCACTCTTGATGGAAATGCCTTGGAGGACGTTAAAACCTTGACATACTTAGGTAGCATCATTGACGAGAAAGGTGGATCCGATGCAGATGTGAGGGCGCGGATCAGCAGAGCATGGGCTGCATTTCTACAATTGAGAAATATCCGGAACTCCAAACAAATATCAATCAACACCAAAATCAGGATTTTCAATACAAATATCAAGACATTTTTTGAAATCTATTTCTATACCTATCTTTTCTCTTGAAGCTTGTTAACTGGAATTAATCAGTCACAAACTGTGAGACGATGAGTAGAGTTTCATGTTGTTATTCTGTTACTTTGCATGTAAGCAGTTTAATGTTTACTGAATCAAGTATAAGAGCTGGTTAGAAGTTCAGTACCTCATGAACTTTAGTTAATACCGAAAAATGTAAGGAAGAAAAATCAACCAATATACCAACTGACCTACCCATGAAACAATAAACTGACGAGTATACGGATTGTTTGTATAAATACGTTCTTTCAGTAATAAGACAATATCTGTTAGGTCACAAATATCAGTCTCCATGATAATTTCCTTCAAAAGTCTATCACATTGTAAAGCTGACGGGCGAACAGTGGAGTCCGAGTCCGATACACCCTACATAAGAAAAAGTTGGGAGTGGTATTATTTAGATCTAATGAATATTATAAATTACTTTCGAAACAATAAATCAATATTCTCAACCAATTACCGCAAAACATAAATTGGATCAGCTGAACTTGAGATCACGGATATCATATACTGTTATTCTAAAATACAGCAAAATGTTCGTATAGTATATTAGACCGCTTACGCCGCTTAATTTTTAAAAATGTAAGATGAATCTACTACATGAGAAGAAAGACAGGTAATAGTCTCGGTTAAAATGCGTCATTTAGTACGGTTTACTGCAGTGATAGTATACACAATATTTTGATATGATTCTTTTTCAGATTAATATATTGTAACCACCAAACTGATCGAAAATCATGAAGTCTGATACACGGGTATGTTTTGGGGTCACGGTCAAACTCTTATTCTACTGTAGGTAGACTTTATGGAAACCTTTACAAAAGCATCTTATTTCAATAACGAAAGCAACCCATGATGTCACTGAGAAAGAGTTAAGATAATTCAAAGATAATTTTCTGTGATATAGTATCTTATTTTACGAACGAATATTATTTACAACAACCTCATAATCATCCGATGCAAATGTTCACTTTAAATAATCAGTAGCATTTAACAGAACAGTGAGAAGACGTAATTGATCTGAAAAATGTGACGTAGTGTGTCGCAGTGGATAAAAGCTGCGGAAATTTAAGTACTGCTCAGTCCAGGTTGACCTTCGATAAACTGAACGCTTTATAGTTCTGTTTTTCCTTCGAATCAACAGTATGTCTAAAAAGGGCAATTGGTTATTACTTCCTACTTCGTGTGTTAACCCATGTGAGGCTTGGTAAAATGCCTCTTCAATAGGGCACAAAAAATTTACACCACGGATACATTTGAAGACGATGCAAAATTCTTGACTGAAACATTGATTTCAAACGGTTATCCACTAAAATTCATCAATAGGTGTAGAAATCAGTTAAGACAAAAGCCTGTTTTTCATTCCGCTGAAAAAAATGTTTTTATCAGTTTACCATTTAGAGGTTAATCAAATGGTCTAATATTAAGACAGCAACTAAAAGCAGAGATAGAGAAAACATACTACGCTGCAAAACTGATTACAATTGAAAAGACTAAGCCCATGATTCCATATAGACCCAAATGTTGCTTGAATGATTACATCACATCCCACTGCATTTATCAATTTACATGTTTTTGTGGACATACGTAGGGAGGAGTAATCGGACTTTGCAATCAAGGGTTATGGAACATGTACCTAAGTGGCTTCAAAATCAGTTAACGTTAGATGAGCCGATTAGCGTGAGAAATAGAAAACCATGTTCATCGATCGCAAAACACAATTGTGTTTTGTGTTTGCTCGACCGAAGCTGCTACCTTGACGTGGTGGTTGGGCTTGCCTATCGTGATGACCCAACCGAGCTATACTGGCTGGAACACATGTTCCTGCAGGTCCTACCATGCCAGGCAGGTCGATTGGAGAACGATGAGACTAAAAGCAGCTACTCAAGGTCTGAGGGCGAAGTCGTACTGCTGACTGCAGAGGGGTGTGACAGCAGTAAGGTGTTTCCCTCGGACAACCAGCATCTGCAGCGATGCTGCCTTCTCACAAGGAAGGAAGGGTTAGAAAAGGTCGGCCCTAAAAATGTCACACCTCCCCTACCTCACGGAATTCCGTCTCCGGCGGTAAGGGTGTCCACTAAGGGCCTTTAAGAACGGAGCTAATCCTCAAAAAACATTTCATAAA